CTTAGAGAGGCGAAAACGTGTTTAAAAACAGATTCGCTCTGCCCAATTTGCATAAATGCCAAATAAATGTCGAAGATCTTTTTCATTACGTTATTATCGCCTTCGTTAGTTAAAATGCTCGTTCTAAAATGCATACAGTAAAGACCTAAATTATCTAATACAATTAAACCCACTTCGTTCGTCATGTTTTGCTCCATTATTGCTTGCTCTCTCTTATAATTTTCATTTTCTACAACAAAAAAAAACCTATTTCAAATTAACTACTATAACAAGCTTATCGTTATTATAAAATGCAATCTATAAAAGTTTTTTTCCAAGAATTGACTGAAAAATAAAATAAATAACAGCAAAAAAGTCAAAATAACTGCAATATATTATTCTGTTCATTAAAAATACTAGTAATCGTCGAATTATGTTACATATTACATACCTGAGTTAACCAAATTCTCGCGATTAACCGTGTGAATGATGAGAGTGCCACTAGTTTCGTGATTAAAATCAGGTGGGTTCATTCTGGCGGGTAAAGTATGGGCCTTTGCGGGTTTATTCTTTACTACATCTTGGACACTTTGTTTAACCACAACTATATTCTTCTTTCCGTTATATTTGAAACAATGCAGGGACATTTCGAGCACACAAAAAAAATTGACTACATCGGAGTCGGCACACTGCTGCCACCAAGAGATCAAACATTCTTCGCCAACATATTTCACCACAAACAAAAAACAAAGAAGCACATCTTTCACCTCGGTCGGCTGAAGTTTGTCGTAACGTTGAAGATGGGGACTGGCCGTGCTCAAGCCCCGATGATGAGACTTGGCTTCGCCGTTTCTTAAGCTTTCGTCTCGAGGTTCGCGAATTATTGTTGTCTCCAAAGACGTTATGGATAGCGCATCTCCAGAAATATCCGATTCAAGGCTCATAGAACTGTTTCCATTTACCACAGCTGATTAATAATAAAAAAAAAAGAATGTTATATCAACTAAATATTTAACTGAAATTAAAACACTTACATTGTCCAGCGATGGCATCGAAAAATACAGAATTCCTCAAATGCATGGGGCTGTCTTTTTCCAAGTGAAGGGTAAACCTATAACTTTTGGGCTGATCGCTGGTAGTAGAACTTTTGCCAAATAAGTACGAACTACTAGTAGACAATCTATTTGCTATCGTGCTACTGTTTCCATCATCCTGTTTATCTATCGCATATAACCGACTTAGGTTTTCGAGTACTATGCTCAGCCAAGGGATGTAAATAAGGGCAATACGACTCATTTTGCCCTTGTTCCGATATCTGTCGTCGAACTCATGTTTTGCCATGAGATCTCGAAGTGTAGTTAGTGCCATTTTTCGCACATGTTGTACTTCATTCAAAGAAGTTCGCACTTCTAATAGGAGCAAACCAACTATAAAATGGTGTTTGCAAAACTCATTTGATAGACTGTACTCTTGGAGATAATCAGGTGAACGATTTTTTGGACTGAGACGAGTGTGCTGAATAGGCAAGTTAAATGCAACGTAATGCTCGTGATTACAGACGATCTCAAGAAACGTGAATTTGTACTCCTGAAGTACTCTCGGGTCACTCGGATTGAACTTGTCGAAATAAATGTTGATCAGACCGAATACAAAACCACGGTCCATCAATGACAAACATTTCTGTGAGAAGAACAAATTAATTTAATAAATTAATGCATAAACGCTCAATAAGTATTTTTTTACCTTCAGAAAATGAGCTAAACTTCTGTTCAATTCAGCAGTCTCTATTGCCATTTCTTTATGTTTATTAATGATGTATGGTATCAGCACTTCAAGTAACGATTCGATTCTTTGCAAGTATTCGAGTGGAAATCTTTCATTCCTATGCATCTAAAAGAAATAATATAATGAAAGGACCTTTAAAAGCATAGTTTCCACGAAAGGTATAACGCATTATATTTAGAGAGGTTCGTAATAAAACTTTTCTCAGAAATAGGAAAATAACTAAACAATAAACATACAAATAATTTTCTTACCTTTATTCTCCCTGTACTAAGTAAGTGTTGTGCCATGCCCTTGATCATAATATCAAAGAAAAAATTTGCATGATGCATAAATTTGTTAACGACTAAAAAATCGGTATTGTTTGGATGCAAAATTGTGGGCAAATGTTTAACCATTTCCTCATGTACGGTCGTTTGTTTTTTACTCTCCGGCTGAACGAACACGTACTTAACATAGGTCTGAAGGATCTCCTTGCGTCCTGAATCGTAGACCATATTGACAAGATTGATTAGGACACGCATAACATTCAGACAGATTTCTTCGTTATTTGTAACAACGAGAAGCGTGAGTAAGTGGTTAAGTAGCGTTGGCAGAAACGTAATTAGAGTTGTCAGCTGGATCGCATGTAGAGCCTTGATGATTTTACACGTTTCGTTCTCGTTGGGTAACGCAGTCGGTTTTGGATCAAGTAAACGTTCTGAATGGGAGAATAAGTTGAACAAGTGCTGATCCCTAGTGTTGACTGTTGAAGCAAGATTGAACGATACTGTGAATAACGGCCTTTGGGCATCAACCCATGTAATTTCTGGCCCGGCATTCTTAAAAACAAATACATTTTCCACAATATGCGCATAAGAAGTCATCAGCGCAAATTAATTTTATACGAAAATAAATTTAAAAAAGTTGGTTAGATTATGTTAATTGTAATCTTTTGGACTTACGCCTTTGCCTAGACCGAAGGGATGTATTGACAAGTAACCGGCTGGCAGGTGCATAGCAACGGGAATACTTTGTGTATCCAGATTTAGTTTTCCTTTCTGGAGAAGCGGAAGCCACGCGTAACCAATACAGTTTTCGACACCGTTATCGCGCTTCTTTGAAATATCACAGGAAATATGGTAAAAGGTAAACAACAAATGGTGAGAGGGGTTCAGGTTGATTGGCAATTTGACCTTTATCTCCTCATACCACATTGGCACCGTATTGTGGTGTAATACTGCACAAGACACTTGAGCCACTAAAGGTTTCTGACCTGGGCGCCCATAAATACACTGGAAAAGTGGATAAGAACGTAAAAGATAGTAATTTTAATACAAGCAATTCATATTTTATATTTATTATATGAATATTAAAAACAGAACAAAAGTTGTTAAAAGTTCATCTACAAATATGAACAGTTCATGTTTATTATTCAATACATATTTGAATCACAAAGCACTATAAATATAAGGAGAACTCAAATAGGTATTACCATTTTCTTGTAGTTTGTTTATCACAAATGCAAAGAAAAATATAACTTCGTTTGATTTTAATTTTATAAACATTTCAAACCGAAAATATGCGACAAAATTGTCAACGAAAATAATTTACGAGTCTTTACATAACAAATGAAATAAATTTTACCTGAATAGGTTTGGCACCATCTTCGTCAGAGTCCCTGATCTCTACTACACACGCTATGTTTCTAGCTCTAGTAAAAACTTTCTGGGTATCAAAACTAAGGCAGTGGGGATAGACGAACAAGTGATTAACAAATGTGACGTATGGATGAACATCTCTTTCTGAACTACCTTCGAATTCGGTTACTTCTATAGTGGGTTCACAAATTGGAGGAATCGGGAACGGTTTCAAAGGGGTTAATGAGGTTGTTAAAGAATCTACAAAATAATAAGAAACATTTAGTATATTATATTAACTGATGACATTATATTGTCACATGTATGTTGCGTTGCCTACTAATGACATTATATGTTGGTTTGCCTTTTCAGAATATGACTTCTAAAAACTATTCTGTCATTATGTATGTTGGGTTGCCTACATACATACGACAATATACATTATCAAAACAATATTTACAAAAAAATTACAAAAGCTTTACTTATTACTTTTACTTACTTTCAGGCAAGTCGACTAGTGGTTGTAATTTCATTTTTACAGACCCAGGTATCACAGTCAATTTACTAAATTTATCAGGTTTTCTGTATTCTGAAAGCAATTTTAATAATTCTTCATCACTTAGTTTATTACTTTCTTGTCTGTAAATAGCTGGAAAATCAGATGATGTATCTAATTCATTGCTGTATAATCTGCAAATATAAAAAAACACCTTTTTGCACTATCAAATCAACTTAAACATAAGAAAAGTTAAAATGTTTACTGTAATTAAGTGTCTTTCTTGATTGCAACTGAACAGCAAAAATTGATTTTGCCAACCTGAATAAAGGTTTTGCAGCCCATCCAAAAGGCATCTTGTAACAACCAAGTCTATGGCAGCAGGCCGAAACGCTTTTTTGTACTTTTAAACCTAATTTGGGATCTTTCGCAGCCCTAATATACGGTTCTGCCACTTGGCAAATGCTACCCTGTAAAATCTTCTCAATTCTCACCACAACAAAGATATCAGGATGGGGATTAGTAACACTCAATATACACTGTTTTGGATACATAATCCAATCCCATGAGACATTTGAAGGAAGATCCGTGTGGGTATGGTAAAAATTCGGACCGTGAGAGTCTGGTTTAAGACCGTTCTGTTGATTTGGTAGCAACGACCGAACGTTCATACTGTTAACATCAAAATGAAAATTTTCAGTCAGTTTTTTGCCATTTCTGGCATCAAATAGGCACAATGAAGTATGGTATGGTTCAACCTGGAAAAAGGAATAAACATACTAAAAAATTAAAATTTATACAATTATCTAAAATATAATACTATAATGTATACTGCCTAGTATAGTATTAATAAAGTGTATACATTATAAAAACAAAGAAAATAAATAAATCATTTAACACGCTCGCAATTTTATTATTAAAAAATAATTTTTAAGTTCAACAATTTTGGAAATTCTAATTCAACTAAAAACTGAATATTTTGTATTACGTATCTTAAAGATACAGTATGTTTAGCGGGATGGAAATTAATACAAACTGCTTTACCTGGCACATAGTATCCTTATCGTCTACAGGAACCTGCAGTTTAAATTTGAGGCTTTCGCATCGAATAAAAATACGCTGACCAAACACTTCTTTATAAGGCTCGGCTTGCTCAGAAGTGACACAAGTTGACAATTTTGGATTCAGAAATACTTGGGGATAAAGACTGAACAATTTATGCCGATTTTCACGACGAGCTAACGCTATACTAACGTCTGTTTCTCGAGCATATTTTATTAATTGAGGATTCATACTCTGCTCTAGACCCTTAAGAGTTCCATAAACCTGAGGTTGAGGAGACGGGGGAGGTGTATTTTTTTCTGAAATGAAGTAATATTTTAACAGATTGTATCCATCTCTTAAGAACAGTCAAATTAATATAAATATGTAAATTATACCTCTTTCTAACGACGCGGCTCTCTTTTCTTCCTGTAATTTGTTCTGGTGCAACACACAGCACAACTTTCCCAACCAGTCTTTAAATTCTGTTTCTGTTTCGGCAGCCAAAAGGTAAGATTTATGTCCCGCAGTCATTCTCAATTCAAAACAATAACGACCCCTTTTCATACTCTAAAAAGATGATTGGTTTATATTTATTGTAAAAAAGATGTACTATAGTTTTTACTTTAACAACTTCTGTACAGAAGTCCATTACTATTGTGGCTTTGGCTTCTGCCTTTGAATCATCTTTAAAAAGCTCCAAAATGTAGGTTCCATCAACTTCTTGTCTTAAAAAGCAGTACCGCCTTTTGAACGATTTCGATCCGATATTTGAAAACATTCTATCAGAACCTTAAATTCGGTAAAAATTACATACATATAAAGGGTAATTGTTCTTTTATATATTTGGATTTATTTCTGTCATGAATAAAATATTAATCCTTCCCATTTTAAGTGTTATGGCAAGACTTTATTATACTGAACAATATCCCGTGTGCAATTTAAACTTGCACTTGTCCCTTTATTTTTAATAAAATAAAATATATTACTACACAAACTCAAGAGCGCGAAAATAAAAAAGTTTTACATAATATTTACAATAAAATAATGTGAGATAATAGTTTTTAAACAAAAACTTCACCAGACATCATTGCTTTATTTTTAATTATTACTCATTAACTGCTTATCAACTAATTAAGAAATTCTCAAAAACAACTTATTAAAAACAGATAATTTTTGTGGCATATATATCATGATAGTAAAGTAATTAATCTAATATTATGCATTCTCACAAGAACAGTATCTAAATAAAACCGTTTGGTTCTTATAAATGAAAACAATTTACAAATGCTTACCAATTTCTGGGCCTTTCATTAAATAACCCTCTTTAGTTATACCATCCCCCTGGGATTTTGAACTGTCCACTGTATCTGAATCAATATCAATTTCAAAAATCTCCTCTTGGAGATCCTCCTCTCTATTACCATTAGGCAAGTCACTGTATGACCCTGAGTAAGCACTATATTTATAATGCACAAGATTCCAATTGGACGAATATGTACTAATGCATTGTTTTGTAAATAAACTGCAGTCTTCTGTTTCACATTTTGGAGGGATGACATGAGATACCGTTCTGAATTTTTTAGGTAAAACAATTTGCTGCAAAATAAAAGGTACAGACAATATAAATTTATAAATATAGAAAACATATAAATTAATATATCTATAATTTTTTACTTACTGATATGTCATCTGAGGGGTAAATAAGAAGCTCACGTTGTGGGTCATTTTGTAAAAGGGTTTTGTTTTTAAGTATGAAATTCTCAAAATCTAGAGGTTCTACCAGCTGAGGTTTATTCTAAAAAATGTGTTTTAAGTTAACTATTTACCAAGATAAAGTAATAACATGCAAAATTAAAAGGCATTCCCGCGTTTTCACTTTCATTTATAAGATGTTATATGACTGTTTTTATTAATAGGTGTGAGGATCCGTCAAAATTATTATTATGTAACAAAAAACAAATACTGTTATTTAAGAATTGTTATTTATGGCTTGTCCCCCATGTATGTATATAAAAAGCATGAATTTTTGAAGTAAAATTAAATATTAACAAACTTACTTGCACGGTGCTTTCTTTTACGGCCTGGGAAACTGTTTCTCGTAGTTGAGCTGCTGTTCCCGGCTTTCCCAAGCTTTTTGTGAATTTTCTTTCACTCATTTTACTATCTCAGACTGTTTTGGTATTGCAGTATTTTTAATAACTGAAATTTCATGTCCATGTCTGCTGGTCCTCAACCTTTTAATCGACCGATAAGATAAACACAATAAAACAGACCATCTCAAAAAACCTGTTGTAAATGAAAGTAACCAAAACACAAGAACAGTGGAATGTTAATTGTATTGATAACGTCGATAATGTTATTATTCGTCGTTTGATATGGATAATGCCTACATTGTTTGCATTCAAACTACACTCCAACATGACGTAATTATTAAATAATTATCATTTTAAACATTTTTTGCGACTCAATTCCCTTACGTCATTTCGAAGCCGAAGCTCAAGGTTGGTTCACCTGCTGCAATTTATAGCAAGAAAAAGTTCCGTCAAACGTCAAACGGTTCCCGGTGTATTATTTTTGTGTTCCATCTACATCATGAAATAGTAAATAGCAGTCGTAAATACTATCTTTTGTCTTATTACAATAAACAAAAAACAATAAAATGTGCATATTACAACTACATTGTTGATAACAAACTTATATATCTGAAAATCATGGAAGACGAATTAGAAGATCGAGTTATTTACCAAACCTACGTAACGCATCTAAAAATGATGTCCCGATTTGCATGGGGTGCTCCTCTAAATATAAATTTCCATTCACCCTTAACATATCTAGCATATCTATGGCGATTATTGAAGGTTTATGTTTTTAAACCTGAAGTTTTCATCTTTGGGACAATCATAGTTTTGATATTCATGTATTTGCAAGCCCTTGATGTATGGAGTCGTGCTTTATTAGGTAGACTGCAATTCACGATTAGCCGAGGGACCAAAGGAAAGATTCAAAAACTTAGTTTATTCAACACTGGTGATGCAGAAAAGACAAGTTGGCAGTTACAGCTTCAGCAGTCTGCTGCATATGCCATCCAAGGACGAAGACCAAAAATGGAAGATCGATTTGTCATAAATGAAAACATAAATAATACTGGCGTCTCTTTATTTGCAATTTTTGATGGACATGGAGGAGAATTTGCAGCAAATTATGCTAAAGAAAAACTTATACCCAATTTGTATAAGAAAGTTGTTGAAATTAAAGATCTGATTAGTGGAAAAGTACCAGAAAAAAATCCTGATGAACAACAGTGTAAGGAAGACAGTAAAGATGAAAGTAAACCGTCTACTCCAATGTTGCAAGAGCGTAAGAGAAGTATTAGAAAAACTACATCCACAACAGACGAATGCTACAAAGGAATCAAGGAGATAACTGACAAAGAAATACTGAGCAAATTGGACAAACAGTTGCCTGTTACTAGGGAAGTCCGTAATACATCCACTTCAATGTTTAAACAAATTCCAACAACTAGTTATTTTGACAAAAGTGGTAAAGTTGATTATGGAAAACTGTTAACTGATGAAGTGCTAGCTGCAGACCGTTTATTGTTGGAAATTGCAAAGAAAAGTTATGATGTTGCAGGTACAACAGCACTTATTGCTATTCTAGAAGGCACAAAATTATATGTTGCAAATGTTGGGGATTCTCGTGGAGTAATGTGTGATAATAAGGGTAATGCAATTCCCTTATCATTTGATCACAAACCCCAACAAATGCGGGAACGTAAGAGAATTAAAGAAGCAGGTGGTTTTGTTTCTTTCAATGGTGTTTGGAGGGTGGCAGGTATCTTAGCAACATCAAGAGCACTGGGTGATTATCCCTTAAAGGACAAAAATTTTGTAATTGCTGATCCTGACATACTGACATTTGATCTGTATGATCATAAGCCACAATTTATTATTTTAGCTTCTGATGGATTGTGGGATACCTTTTCTAATGAAGATGCAATAGCATTTATAAAAGAGAGATTAGATGAAAGTGATTATGGGGCAAGAAGTATTACTTTAGAATCGTTACACAGAGGCTCCTTGGATAACATAACTGTGGTCATAATTGATTTCAGAAATTTCCCCTTCAAGTCCGCTCAAGCATGACAACTGATGCAGGGTGCTTATGCAAGTTGGTTGTGGTAAAATAATAGTTCATATCAGTACATTACTGAAAGTAGATTTTGTTTTTGGTGTTTTTTGTTAACTTATTGATATCTGAAAAAATAAAACATTAAATTCAAAACTGAAAAAAGATCCCATCTAGAAAGAACATGTTTGCTNGGATCTGATGTGAGAGGAATATCATCGGGTTCTATGGGTTCAATTAGATAAATAGTATCCATTTTATGTTTAAGTGCACAAGACAGTTTTAGATATTCACGACTTTTTAGATGACATCTCTTTGTTTTGAATTTGGTTAATCAACATCATCTCCAAACACAGCCTACAAAGTTGTCATGATCAGCTGACTTAAGATATATTCGACAACCTGATACCATCACTTAAATCTATACCGTTAAGTTTGCAATTGCTATTTTAGAAATATACATGTACAGTCCATGTCCGTATAATATAATAATTTAATTCTGTATAAATTAATATACCTCGCATAAAAAAGAAGTGAGCTAAAATAGTTTTTAAAATGATAATCATATTTATTACCTTAAATGTATATTTGAAACTGTGTACCTGCTTGTAAAGTAAGTCTTCTTGATGAAAAGCGAAAACTAACGTCCGGCTTTAATTAACCCTAGGCGAGCTTTTTTATTCGCATTTTATTTTTTGCTCTATAAATCAACAACGTGCCTAAATATAAACTTGAAATTTTAAATTTAACATTGCTCCATATGATTACATAGAAAGGCGATTGTAAATAATTAGGCGACTTCACTTTACAACAAAACAGTGCAAAAATCACAATCACATATTAATAAATAAAATTTTAATTTGTAGAGAATATTTGTTAATGCATTGACATAAGATTACCTTTGAAATTGTGCAATATACATATTAGAAAATTAGAACCTTACTATGTAACATACTGCATTTTTATTGTTTATGTAACATCTAAAGAGATTGCTTAATTATTTATTTTTCATACTTGCATATTTGTGGAGGGACTAGATATTCTTCGTTTAATATTTTCATTAGTTGGCACATTATTTTTTAACACTGATTAATTATTAATTATCAATTCCGTTTGGCTTACTAATTACCTTGAAAACTTTTTATTTAATACATAGATAATAGTTTTAAACAAACTGCACCCATTTATTCACCGAAGGTGTACAAAAACTGGTGCTGAATTAATTTTTAATTCTCATGAATAGTGCAATTTACTATTTATAATGGCATTATAGAGAAATATTACGGTTTTAGCTTTGCATTTATGTCTTTCCTTTTTAAGTTTGTAGTGCCAAAGATGGTCATTCTGTATTTACATTGTGTTTGTTACTACAAATTGTAGTTAAAATAAATTTTGGAAATCAATGTACAATTTTTCAAGTGTTTCAATAAATGATGTAAAAATATTTATTTTATTTAATATTTCTTATGTAAAAAATAATTAACAAGTGAGTCAATTGCACCTGTTTATTTACAAAAGCGNTTTATAATTAAAAAAACAATAATTTATAAGCTAAATGCACTCAAATCTGTTGCAAATTTGATATAAAAACCTACACATAGTATATGAGGTCACCAATAAGGATTATTTACAAAAACTTTATGTTACAATATTTCAAATTCGTTATCAGAATCAAATTGTCTGTCATCGTAATCTGAAAAGAATTCTAACTTTAGAGTAGTCTAATAATTTCAAATAATTTTGGAATACATAATAAATGATAAATCGATTTGGAATTTGTTCTGTTTAAATTTTTATTGTATAGTTTTTTTTTGCACATCCCCATCGAAAATATACGGCCTGAGTATTTGTCATATTATAAAGATAATTTTCAAATAAGTAAATTCAAGGTAATTAATTTAGATGCAATAATCTTTTGTTTTAATCATTTCATGAAACTTACCTATGCATGAAGCTCCTAAAGCCTCTTCAGCTGATTCTTCAGTAAAAGACCATTCTTTTGGTTTTTCATAGCAAACTTCAAACAGAGGCTGTTTGTCAGGTGTAATAAGACTTGTTTTGACTAGACTGCAAAGGTCATCAAATTCTTCTTCAGTTTCACATAAGAAACACTAGAAATGTTTTTTAAAAATGAACATTACTTCCTTAAGTCTTAAATTAAGATATACCTACAACTGCCACTGATGGATCCATTGACAAAATATTTATTCTTGAAGCATGTTTACAATGGTATGTGGAATCCATTTCCATTTGTTCATCAGTTTCTTTAGTCTCCACAAAACCACATCTTTGTGTTGTATGTGGATCCAAAAATATAACTTCATTTCCAACACAACCAATAAAGTATAAAGCCAAGTTAGGTTTACCACCAATTATACCAAGGCTTTGTTTAAATTGGAAACACGTCTACAAATTTATAGAGAATGGAATATTTAAATTCCAAACTAACAACAAACTTAATACATTACCTGAACACAATTAACATAAATAGGATTAATTTCAGTAAGTCCTAATCTTAGAGGTACTACCAATAATAATGGTTTCCAATCTTTGCTTAAAGTAGTCATATTAGCATTATTAGTATTACTTTGATGATTTCTAAATTGGCAAAGGTCTCCTAGAAATTACATATCTTATCATTAAAATAGTATGAATATAATCAGTTACATACTTATTTCACTTATCACAACTGTATTATCTAAGGCTACATGAATTGCTAGAGAACTCCACTCATCATATTTGACTAGTTTTCTAAAAAATAAATGTTTTATTTATTTTATCAATATTTACTAAAAATATTAGCTATACTTTAAAACTTGGGCCACAGTATTTGGACCAAACCATTGTCCAACTTCTTTTCCTTCTGAAGCTCCCATTAGGGCAATTTGGTGAATGGAAAAAGGTGCTTGTCTCCGATCTTCAAACTTCTGCAAGATTTTTAAATAAATAGAGTCTCTTGTATCAGTATCCCAAAACCAATCACGCCCTAAGTGAAGATTAACAAGGGCTTGTGCTAAGACCATTTGACCACATCTTAACATACATCCCCAGCCCTTATCAGAAGTTAAACCATCTCCACCCCCAATAGGTATAAATCCTTTTCTGTAAGTACACCATATCCTTGTCGTTATATCTTGTCGTATGTTTTCTAACTCTAAAAAGGAAGTGTATGGGTATAACTTTTACATTTTTTATTATTTTAATGAAAGTTCACTTTCCTGACCTTCTAGAGCGTTGTACCTTTTTCCTAAAATCCAGACAGGATCTGATGTGAGAGGAATATCATCGGGTTCTATGGGTTCAATTAGATAAATAGTATCCATTTTATGTTTAAGTGCACAAGACAGTTTTAGATATTCACGACTTTTTAGATGACATCTCTTTGTTTTGAATTTGGTTAATCAACATCATCTCCAAACACAGCCTACAAAGTTGTCATGATCAGCTGACTTAAGATATATTCGACAACCTGATACCATCACTTAAATCTATACCTATCGAATCAGTTAGCAGTAAACTTTTATAACAGATGGCGACACACTACGTGCCCGTTTTGAAGTTATAATAATATAATGATAATTAATGTATAATTAATAATCTAATATTGTAATGGCAGAACGAACAATTCAATACTCACTTTTTTTTCTTTTAAGTAATAAAAAAGGGATGCTTTTCCTCCCTTCTAACAGGAAAATATAAATTATCAAAATATAAGTTGAAAAAAAGTAATTTTAAAGTAATATATTTAAAATTTAAAGCATATATAAATTGAGACCACAATATTTACATTAAACTTAAACCTATCAGAACCAACCATAACAGGTTTTGGTATTTTTACAAAGGTATGAAGTTTGCGAAAAGGGTGTTAAAAGTTCGTTATTTTACAAGTACAAACTTAACTAAACGCTGATAAAGCAGTAAATAGGCATTTATTGAAATATCCGATTAAAAGTCAGTTTTGTGATGTACTGTTGATAATTTCAGACTTTCAAAATTCGAGTATCTTGTACATGGACACTTTCAAAAAGCAGCTAATCACTGGAAACCATTTATCTCTTTCACTATTTTGCATTTAAATTCTACTTTCTACTTTATGGCAACTTAAAAAAATATACCTCCCAGTACAAAAATCTTTTATGGTCAATACTTTTAATATAAAATAACTATACATACAATAATAAATACCCTGTTTAGAACCCATCTTCAATTTCCCCATGAAATGTGAAACCATGTCGAAATTTACACAAAAAAACCTAAATAATTTAAGACAATCGTAAAACGACTTTTTTACCGACAAGAGATGTAATGAATTTGACTACAGTTGCTTGTTGATAGCGCCCTCACTACTACTCTTTCGCTTAAATATAACGTTTATTTATTGCACAAGTCACTAAAAGAGATTATGCCAGAACCTGAGGTAGCTTAACATTCAAAAATTTATGTTGGGTAGATCGCTTTTATAAAAGCAATTATCAGATAAACCGTCCATATAACGGTGTACAATCAATTTTAGAAATAACGCTTTACATGGTTAAAAATGTAACATTAGTGGAAAATTTGAAATCATCATTAAGAAATGTGAAAAAGAAATTAATTAACGACAACAGATAATGACTACTTTCCTCAAATATATGCCCCAATAAAGTTGTAAAAGAAATGATAAAAGATAAACTTTTTGATACAAAAAATTCTTAGGATCTAAACAAACAAACTGCCTGGATTTTTTTAATGTACATTTATTACTTTCATAAATATATTTACGTGAATTGAGAATAAATTCTAAGCACTAATGAGGCTCAAATATTCAAGTTTTAGCTTTCTGAAATATAAAAATCATCTGACGAAAGTAATCATTTCATATGATCATATGAAATGCGAAAACTATTGGTGTCAATCGTGGAAACGATGTAACGATAACCAAGGAGCTCGTGTTCTTATGGTTTAGTAAGATCATTATAAGGAAAGAACGATCTAGTAGATTAATTACGTTTTCATTAATATTTTCATCTTAACGCGAGTATAGGGAAATAATATGGGGAACTGTATCTAATAACGCAAAAATAAATAACTTATAATACAAGATAATCCGTTAATGCAAAGTAAAAAAATAAAATGCGTATTATATAGCATATGATAAAAAAAGAAGTTGCACTGCATTCTTTGCAACTTATTATCTCTATATTATATAATATGTACACTAACGAGTATTCTGTAAAACGAGAGGACATTAAATTAAAAAATAAACAACTTTACATTTGCAAAGAAATATTGGAAAAGTAATACTCGAACTATCGATATCGTAATAATAATAATAATAATAATAATAATAATGAAGTCTTTGAGTTTCTTCTACCACAGTACTTGAGTTTATTGTTTAAAAGTAAGTACTTTAGAATTAAAGTTTTCTGGTAGGTAAACCTAAAAATTGCTTAATTTAGCATGAAACCGAAACAAAAAAGACGACACATGGTGATCAATGATCACAAAAGATACGGTACAAACATTACAAACCACAAATAATCCGACTAGAACAGCAAATGTATAACTTGTTCTATTGACTATGTACTTTACTCCGAAGTATGTTAAATTATATTTCCGAAAACGGTAATAAAAAACTATTAAGAGCCGTTTTAAAATGTATCACTTAATATTTCATTACTAATAAATTTCAAAACGAAATCTATTTATTTTTTAAGTCAATAAAACAAGTTATATTCGTATACTCGATCGGCAAAAATTTACCTGCCAAAAACCATTTTATCACGCGCTTTAAAACCAAACGCCAATAATTAATTATAACAAACAACCAGCGAGGAATCAAAAATAAGAAAATCAGTAGGAAGCGTACGAAATAAAATAAAAAATATAAAACGGTCGTCACACCTCCTACCGTATCAGGCAAGTGCGGCACAGCTTGTTTGGTCCTATACAGTCGTCGTGGCAGAAGACTCCGCACTTTTTACACATCACCATCGCCTTAAGTCTGCACGCGCATGGAGGTTCAGATGGGGACGCGGCTGCGGCTATTACTCCGTTGCCATTCGGTGCGGGTACAGCAGCACGTGCAGTTACCTGCTGTGCATGCGCACCTTTTTGTGCAAGCGTCATTTGAGACTGCATCGCAGCAGCCGGATGGTCAATCATCACATTATCGCCTATTATCGTGTAATTCTGCATCTGGTTGTCGACGCTTACGTCGCCGTAGATAACGCCCTGTGGCACGCGTTGACGACGAGTTACGGCCTGCGTACCAGGGTTAGGACACTGAACAAAGAAGTCAGCGGGGGGAGGCTGTTGTTGCTGTTGCTGCTGTTGAATGGCGGGGTTTTCGATCTCTACGCTAGCTGGGCGACCGCCTCTTGATCCCACAGATACCATGTGAGACATGGCACCGGCATTTATGGGACATGAAATTTGCGGCTGGGTCGGCGGCGGAGCGCTCGAAGATCGGGGAACACCGTGATGTTCACCAAGTCCTGCACGTTGCACTAGAATGTACTGACCTACTTGACTCATCGCAGGCTGGCCTTCAACTACCTAACACCCAGAAAATATTTTAATTAACAATGTAGCTTGCAATGTCCACATGAAATGAATGAATAAATAACAAATAATAAAACATTCTAGATAGATGTCATCTTGGATAAAAATCGTTTACATGCAGGTTCGATAGATCATTTAAATTGATTTATGCAACCCAACATACATCACGTATGCACGTTGCATAGATTACCTCTGTACTTGTACAGTACATTTCCTATAAAGTAGATTTAGACAGAAAACAAACTAAATACTAAAAAATAATGTGATTTCTAGCGCAATAGGAACATAAACAATTAATTCTCTGTACTCACTCACTTCAGGGCTGAGTGTTTGAGCCTGGGGAAGTACAGCCATCGTGACAGGAATACCTTGTCCGGATGTAAACACGTGACGTACCACCACAGGTGGACTGGGTTGTCTCTGTTGATAGGCCATCCGAGCCTTCTGCGGCAGCGCTTTGACACCATTTGTACCAGGAACCATTTGATAATTTCCAGAAGCAGGCAATGGGGGCGTAAACGTTTTGGTGGAGCCACGAGAAGAACTTACGCTTCCGTACTGTGTCGGACGATTATTGTTTTCGGTTTTCTTTACAGGATTAGAAGTTGCCGTAGCAGCCGCTAATAACGAGGGCGGAGGCTTTAACTGACAGCGAAGCTGATCTCGGTTGGGGCTATTTTGAATCACAGCCTAATAAAAAGTCAATAAACAGTCTTACTTATTTAACTAGATTGATAATACAGTATAAGTTTTAATGGAAGTAGAAGACATAATATAATACATTTTAGCAACAACCATTAATGTTGAAAATACTGTAATTAAAATTTTAGATAACATCATTATAACATTACCTGGCAAATTTGATAACTTCGTTCAAGATTGACGGCACCAGGAGGTGGTTTATTATTGCTTCGATTTCGGTTCGTGCCCCCGGCAGATTTATTCGTCGTTTTCGCTTTACTATGTGTTGGTACTGCTCTAATCGGCTGACTGGTGCTCAGTTGCATGTAAGGTATGGCACTTGAACTCTGCACCATGCCTTGACGATTCAAATTCACTGTTTGAGATACTTGATTGAGTACGGGCTGTTGTGTCGTTACCGGGGCCGTTGTTACTACTGTTGGGAGACAAACTATTGTTGTTGGTGGGATTACTGTTGCCACCGTTTTACTGAGTGCCGATGTAACCGTTGCGGTGCCACTATTACTTATAGAACATGTGACCACAGTATCAGTGCTTGACATTTCAGGAGTCAAAGTCACCTCTAGTTCTAATTTAACTTGGTTACCGGGATATTCGGGAAATGTCTGGGATTGCTGGGAATTATCTGAAGTACTGCCGTTGTTTTCGTTGTTACCCAAAGCTGCGGCAACCATATCCGAATCCATTTTTACTCCATAGGGCCAATCGGTCGGTACGGGAAAGGTACCTTCTTCAAGGCGAACTTCTAACTCTTCTTGCATAGGAATTACTTCAACATGGTCAGTTGATGATGTGCCAGCACCCACCATACCAACAGGGACTGTTTCTAGGGCATGAAGGGGAACTTCGAGTAATTTTTCCGTACTTGAATCTACCACAGCCCAGCAATCTTCTAAAACGACATATTAATAAACAATAATTACATAGTAATAAAATAAAAGTAAAACTATTGAATAATGAAAATTCTCAAAAAATAAACCACTCTGAATCACTTAAATGCTTATATTATTAGATTATTTATATTAAACTCCAATAATCTGTTACAACTACAAGAAGTTACATGGACTTCTTTTCAACTGCAAGACTGTAACAAAAATGCATTGGAACACACACAGTTGTTTAGAAACATGACACTACCAATGGTAGACTGTTATCGAATGTTTTAAAAACATTAAAGGCAACCACCCAAGTGTGGACAACCAATACAATGCCATTAGGAAACTTTAAACATTAAAAATATAAAAATATTCTCAGTAGTTACTTATCAAGTGCAGGTACAAAACATGAACATTTAAGTGTCAGTTACAGTTGCAATTTCAATGGCAATATTAAAAAGCATATTGGTTACAAAATAGGCCCCAATATTGTCAATCGTAAAAAATTAATGGTTTTTTTTTTTGGTAAGTAACATTATTAAATTTTAAAGCATTATTACCATTTTCGTTAGAATAGTATGTTAATAAGAATTTAAATGTACCTGATCTATTTCCAAATAAGTCAGGTGGAAGATTAGGATCCATCCTTTCTTTTTCACTTTTTTGTGTAGATGATAAGGTAATTTGACCAGACTCAAGGACATAATTTTCTGCATCCATAAACCTGTCCTCAGTTTCATCTTCCAAATTCCGTACTAAATCAGACTCCAAAACACTTGCTTCCAGCTTTTCAGCTGTTTCTTCAATGCACTGCACATTCTCACAGTTATCTGGACAAGAAGGCCTCTCCAAAATCATAGATTCTTGTTGAAGAATAATAGAATTTGGTAACATTTGAAAATGTTCATGTAAATCATTTTGTACAGGTTGATGATGTAAATTATCAGCCAAAGAAGAAGAATCTATTTCTTCAGGTCTTTCTTCTGAATTATCAGAATATAACTGTTCTTTGTCAATTTGATTTTCTGTATTTAAGTTTAAATTTGTTTCTCCTTTTTCTACATGATTTATACGTTCATTAAATGTGTCTTCATTGGGAGAAGGGCCCTTTTCTTGAATTTCCTTGTCAAGTACATCAACTTCCTTTTGTTCACTGGTATTGGTGGCATGTTCTATTTCCAGTGTTATTTCTTCCTCCTCCTCCTCCTCCTCCTCCTCTTCTTCTTCTTCTTCTCCTCCACCTTCTTCATGCTTGGTATAGTTTGTATCAGCCATTTCACAAATTAAGTTGCTTGTTTCTTCTAATGACTGATCATTATCACACATATTTTCTGAAACACTGTTTGTTGATGCTTCAATGACTTCACAAGATGAATTTTTTGGATTACTTTCTAAGACTGCAGTTTCTGTCTGTGCTTCTTTAAGATTAGTTAAAACATTGGACTCAGTTTGAATTTCATCTTTAACATCAGGACTTGGTGTTTTACGCTTTGGAGACTTTAAATCCCTGTCAGAACTTAATGATCTACGCCGTTTTTCTTGTACGTTAGTATCACCAGAATTTTCTCTAAAGCTAATGATTGTCTCTGTTTCTGTTTCCATAATTGCATCACTAATATTAACAATAGACTGCGTGTCTCCACATTCAGCAAGGCTTTGTACTGGAGAGGAGTTATTTTCATTCCTTTCAGAAACTATAATTTCTGGTGATAATTTATTTAATTTTATATTAGAGTTTCGGTGTATATTTTCTAGTTTCTGTAGCTGTGATTTATGAGTTTTGATGGGGAGTAAATCAGGTATTGGTGATTTTGTAGTCACTTCTACTTTATTACTATATTCTATCTTATTCAATGTTTCTATTTTAGTTGAAACATCGGTTTTTATTGTTTCAATTTCCTCCTTAATACTAGAGCAAGAACGAGTCACAGCACCTACAGTTCGCATTCGTTTCACTAGTGGGGCAGATTTATTTTTATTGCTTATCGATGTCGTTGGTCTTAATTTAATTGTGGTTTTAATTGGAGGTCTAGGTAGAGGTGTTGATTCTGTTATGTTATTAGTCCCTTCACTTTCTGCTAAACTTTTATCACCCCAGATGGGTTCAAAATGCTTTAACTTCCATGGATCTAATCTATTTCTTTCCTTATCTGCTTCAGTCTTAATCTTTTGCTGATTTTCTGGGGTAAATTCTCCTTCTGCCAGCCTTTCTTGCCATTCCAAGCAAGCTCGAGCAAAAAATTCATTGTTTAGCCCTGATACACTTAAACGATTAGCAATGTCTGTACAGTTACTGGTTGTTAAAGGAGGTCTATCAACAGCAGGTAACAACTGCACTAACTTGTGCTGATATAGGGGTGGTAATGCTGCAAATGTAGCTTTATTTAATAAAGCTCTTAAATTAGTATTTACCAGTATAGAATCAGGGGTCTCTAAATCAACACAACCTTCTTTGGTTTGTTCTAGTTGGGCAGCTGTTGACAACTTTTTATTACTTCTCTTTCTAGGCTTCATGTTAAAACCTGGTATTGAAGCTAAAACTTCCTTCATAGTTGTCTGAGTGGTGTGTTGAGGCTTTAAAATAGGTGTAGTGTTTTGTACAGTGACTGGAGCAGGCTCTTCTGCAGATTGTGGAGGAAGTGGCTTAACTATAATTCGAGGGAGAGGAGTGTTATTGTTGTTACCTGATGCAATTGTTGTATTTTTACGCCTACGTTTTGCTTGTTGTCGTAGTGCATGCTTAATAACTTTCTTGTTGTTAACGTGCTTACCGTTATCCTTTTTATCATAAGAACAACTTGGTGTATTTTCCTTACTATAATTGCAACTTTCAACTACGTTTGTATCATCGCACGAATCGGCTCCTGGGTTGGATGCATCAGATTTTTCAGAAACTGTTTCTTGCAAAACGTCTACTTCCATAACGTGAACAAAACCGAAGCCTCGATTTTAAACAAAATACGAAATAAGAAAATATTTGCACTACGAATAAATAACAAAGCCGAATAGATAAGTCCAAGCTAAATGCACTTTCACCCCATCGTTATAAAGAGGAATATTTTTGTTATAATTAATGTACAAGCATTTTCTCCAAGTTAAAATTGTCATTCATACAGACAAATATTAATTTTTTAGTTTCTTTGAAAAGTATTTTTTTCACTTTGTACCGTTGACAACAAAACCATCCGCCATTTTCTTCTTGACCTTCCAATTATACTGGGAGGTTTATTTTGCCAAAATAGAGTTATTTTATTACTTTTACAAAAAATAAAAAAAAGAAATAAAATATAACGATTATCGAATATATTTTGATAGAATGCTTCAGCAAGTTTAGTAACGTTCTAAAATAAAAAATACATAGTAACTTACTGCTTTGATTGAATTTGGGTTGATTATTAAAAATATTAGGTATTCATGAATGGAAAACTTTTATTTTTAAAATTACATATCTAATCTTTTCGTAAATTTTGCATTCTTCTGTTTATTAAAATAATTATATCAAGCTTTGCAACACCCTGTATATTATATGTAGATAAAAAGAGATCAATATAAATAAGACAGTGATAAAGAATGGTTCACGAGTTCAAGTATCATGTTGTTCATCATCGTATCATGTTTTGTGTTTTCGTTAAGTAAATTTATGACAAGTTAGTTTAATTTGTGAACATTTACGCATTGTATAATATCATGTTACGAAATGACTTCGAGTGTTCCTGGTTTCTTTACATTTTTACTGCAATAAAAAAAAATTAGTCACTGGAAGTTGCAGGTGTATTAAATTATTCAACCGGCAATAAAAGTAGGCGTATACGTATTGTGGGTGTGCAATGCGTTTATTTAATTCGTAACTCTTATCACTGTGAATATTTGGTATGAAAATAACAGCACTGATATGTAATGATAAGATACTGGATAGAAGTACCACATTCTCTTCCATCGTTTTTCATATGGGTTATAAAATGTTCTGCATTGTTTGGAACAACTTGACTAACCTGTTGGCTTCACCAGCTTTATAAACAAAATAATATGAGTGCAACTTATACAAATGAAAAAGTAGGACTATGGGTAATAAAAACAGTTGCTGCTCTTATTCCAGCCCTCAACCTAGTCGAGTAGTAATACCTTTTGAAGAAACCCTACCAGAAGGTGAAATCAGTACCAATAATTTACAGCATATTAGTGAAAGAGAGGCAGATGATGGAGAAGCAGATCCTTCACAGGATCCAACAGCAAGAACAATTTTTATGGAAAAGTCCAAGTCTGCCATTGAAAATGGATTGATTAGAAGGAAGAGTCAACATCAAATTGCTGAAGTGAGGACTTTAAAAAAGAGCAGTTCTTGTTCTACCATATATTTAGATGATAGTACTGTATCTCAACCGAATTTAAAGAACACAGTTAAGTGTGTTGCCCTGGCTATCTACTATCATATAAAAAATCGTGATTCAGAACGCCAGCTAGAAATTTTCGATGAAAAACTACATCCTTTAACTAGAGAAGGTGTTAGTGAAGATTATGATAAGTTTAATCCTGAACACAGGCAGATATACAAGTTTATAAGGACATTATTCAATGCTGCCCAACTTACTGCAGAATGTGCCATTATTACCTTAGTGTACTTAGAGCGCCTGTTAACTTATGCAGAATTAGATATAGCCCCTTCGAACTGGAAACGTATTGTTTTAGGTGCAATTCTATTAGCATCCAAAGTATGGGATGATCAAGCTGTTTGGAATGTTGACTATTGCCAAATATTAAAAGATATAACTGTGGAAGACATGAATGAACTTGAAAGACAGTTTTTAGAGTTATTACAATTTAACATTAATGTGCCCTCAAGTGTCTATGCAAAATATTATTTTGATTTAAGAACTCTGGCTGAAGCTAATGATTTGGCTTTTCCAAGTGAACCTTTAAGTAAAGAGAGGGCCCAGAAGTTAGAAGCTATGTCAAGAGTTATGGAAGATAAAGTAACAAATGAAGCAATTAAAAACGGTTTGAAGAAATGGTCAAGTTTAGATAATATTAACAGTTCGAATGGTGCAGCTCGACGTAGTATAGCTATATTGTCATGATCATACTATACCTGATAATTTTTTTATTTTTACTTTGTTGAAACAACTTACCAAAGTAAATTTAGTGAATTGTGAGATAGTCATTTAAATTTTTGTTTTTATTAACTAGCAAAAATTGTGATGCCCTAAAATGTATTGATTCTTTCATTATATTATTATTGTAATAGAATTATTTGAAGTCATTTTCATGAATCAAATATGTTTAAATAATGCACTTATTCAAAAATATGGACCTCATTAAAGAATCAAATACAAGAATCTCTATACAGTTAAGTTTTTGTTTTTGATTTATTGACGCTTTTTTTATTTCAAAACATAATGAGTTGTCCTTTGTAAATATGCAGTATGATATGCATTTCTGGTCTAATGTAAATTGTTTTTGTATTGTAAACTTTTGGTTTCAGATAACATTATTGTATGAAAAAGTCTCTTAAAATAAGCATTCCATCTATTAAAGATACCACTTTTTAAGAGAGTTTTTTATAAGGGAGATTTATTATACCAATTATTGCACTACCCCATTCAAAGACACGTCCATTACTGTAATGACTATTTTTTATAGGACAATCCAATATAGGCCTATTTGAAATTTTTATACCGTTTAATGCTTTATTAGACTACAATAAATGTACATCAGTAAAATACTTTAGTGTTTTTGCTTTCCTAGTACCAAAATTTTAATTTAAATTAACCGCTTAATTTTTAACTATAATTACTATGGCTGCCCTCTATTACAAGTACTATAAAACAGTGTTAATACTATAGAACATACTATTGAGATAGACTTATCTATGGAAATATAAGATTGTAGTATGACTTGATCATTTGTATAAATCTATAAATTATTTATTTCTTTATTTATTTATCACTTTTAAAATGATTACATTATACAAAGTACACAAACGAGTTTCTACAGAGATAAACAAAGAGAAAATTCGATTCATTCTTTTAGCTTATGCTCTATTACTGGTTCTTGTAGCTCTGTGGTTGATCATTCATGTACTGATGAACCATTGATGAACTCATAGATTAATTGATGAACTATGTATCGCAAGAAGGTGTGTGGTGTGTTGTCATTTTTTTGACGTATTAGTACGACAAATTTACAAAATCGTTTTTATTAAATTTTTTCTTATAGATAATTGTACCANACCACCGTGTAGGTAGCAGCTTTTCATGAAAGGGATGGTGGGGCACCTGTTTCTGTTTGAGCTTTTCGGTCGCGTGCGTGATGAAAATTGTGTGTTAACGATATTTTTCATTAAATAACAGTATTTTAGTGTTTTTCGTGTAGTGTAAGTGACTATAAGTAAACGTAACAATTCTTTTTGTGGTTTTGACCATGCCTTACGAAGACTCTACTATCAAGAAACTTTCAACAGGTAGGAAGCTTTTCTTTTGTTTGTTTAGTTAGTCTTCTTAATAAATACATGCAATAATACGTTGATGTTTGCTAATCCTACAGTAGCAGATATTATTAAGTATAATACTATTTTACTATGCTTTCCTTTGGTTTAAACAAATTAATGAGCTATTAAGTGCTATTTGGAAAGAGGGGAGGGGGTATCTCCAGGATGCTCATTATATTTTGTTGTTACGTGTCAAGAAACAGAAATATTCAAAGGATAGTTAAAAACTTAGCAGTGGCGTAACCCGGATTTTTCCTCTATGTTTCTTCCAAATTGAAGGAAAATAATAATGACGCAATTATCGAGTTATAACTGCTACTTTTAGACTATTCTAATTACGCGAAAAGTTGCTGTGCCGATTGATTTTTTGTTAATTAACGTTACGTTAAGTAATTTGTTATTAGCAATTGTAAAATTTTGGTTTTAATGACCGAGCTACATTAACGTATTGCTTCGTAAAAGTGCGGATTGCCCTTTAGAAACTTGGGTGCTGGATCATATTAGCATTATTGCTATTAGAACGGGGTTAATCACGTGTTTGCTAAGGAAGGTCGTGATGTTTTATTTTTGACCTACTTTATATACCCCGTTGATGCTTATTATGCAATATATTCTTCGATCGTTGGCAGATGCATTTATTAATACATAGGTACAATACCTTTCTACAATACCGACGACTTAGTCTAATAAAGCAGAAAAGGTATCAAGATATCTTACACAAGTTTTTCTTACTTCCTTCTTTGGATTGCGAGCAAGAAGATTAGAGATAAGAGCAGAAGCTTAATCAGAAACGAATGGGTCTAAAAACATCGTATGTGATAGTAAATGTAAGAACTAGAATTATTTGTATCAGCATCAGCAGAATTGGAGATCTCGTATAACTTTTTTATGTTCATTCACCTGATTTTTAAAATATCTGCCTATTTGGCCTACCTAGGACATATCACAAGTCTGTTCGATTTTCAATTTTTGTTTGTGGAACCTTTACTGATAATTAGGTTCATACTAGGAGATTGCTGTATTATACGTTTGTTTTTTTTCTGTTGTGAGAGAGTCTTTCTTTTGACTTATACTTAATGGAATGACTTTATTACGTAAATATTGAACAAGAACTTATTACTCTTGACATTGGAACATAATAGACGCACAATAGCACAACAAAATTTTGTATTAAGGAAAATTACATTGGACCAAGAAAGTGCAATTACTTATTAAAACAATTTTATGTATCTTAATTAAAAAATGCGCCCATTTCGTTGTATCGTCGTTTAAATTAATTAAATTCTTTTAGATTCGATTTAGACATAAGCCGATGGCATATTCTAAAAATAGGAAATAAAAAATATGTATTTTGTATTAATTTTTATTTCAAACAGGTATCCTAATCCTAACTAATATTATTTGTTAGGGGTATAGAAAAGGACGTAGCCTACCTTTTATCTAGAAAAATAGTATTGTTCCCGAGGGATAGAAAAATTAGTTTTATGTAGTCGTCGATGATTTTTGAAGCCGCGGGTAAAACCTAGTATGAAATAAATTACAACCGATTAGATAAGTATACTTTTGGCTGATCCTCGATTTGGTTGTTCGTACATGCATGTAAAAGATTTATGGATTCTCGTAATGATTACATTTATTTGTATGTTTGAATAATAAATAATTATATGGCCGCGTGCTGCCTTACGATTAACTTGTAAAACAATTATTTGTTCATTTCTGTGTTACACAACACCATTCTGTAATTTTCATGTTTTGCTATTTATCCAACACCATCAGTTATAATAAATGTGTACCGTACATCAGAAAATAACGGCGGTATGATCTCACATCAAGAAAAACGGTACGATGGAGACGTTAAAATAAGCATCTATCTATGTATGTCCGTACATATTACAAACGCATGACTACTTGTAATTTAAAGGAGTCAAGGTTGACATTAATACTACATCCTCTTCAAAATATCACTACAATTATGGGAATTCGTTGCTTCCTGAACACCATGATATTTTACCAATCGTAGATTACGTAAAAATTGGGTCCGTTTGTTTTCAACGTGTATTAGATTAGAAAAAGGTAACGAGAGACCAAAGACGTACCTAGAACTAGTACGTACATAAGTACATTTTCCTTTTGCATGTGAGAAAAACAGCGTTTCATTCTTACGTCCGTCGTCATAAGATATAATTTGTAATAAATGTATTATTTATAAACTGCTAGGGGTCATCTTGACCTTGATAACAGTAGGTACGTACTTATCTTTAGATGTTTGCTTTCACTATACAGCCGTTGGTTGGCTGTAACAGTCTTCACAATCAAGTAGTTCAATGTCAATATGATGACCATCAGAAGCAGACTGACATATTATAATAAATAACTAATGAGAAACTAGCTAACGAAGTGTGCCAATAAATCAACTCCATAACTTATTGAGCAACGCGGTATTTTACGGGAAATGCAGTTTTATTAATTGCTAATTGTCTTTACAGTTTTCCAATACGTCACGAAACGTATTAAGTACCTACATATACCGCTTGACAATTAGATTTTTTTTTGTTGATTATCTCACCGGCAATGTATGAGTTAGTTAATTATTTATTTATGGGATGGCGAGGATAGATACTCATGTTCAGGTATTAAATATTATTACGAAATGTAATCATTATTTTTGAATTTATCCAGGTCCTGCTTGCCTTGTAATTCTATAACTGAAAATTTTCGTCTTACATTTTAGTAAATTCACCCATGTATTATATTCTACAAAAATCTATCATAATAATAATGGTCTAATGCTAAAGTACCATTAATCGATACAGGCTGTAAATCAATTTGAATGGTTATTGTTCGTTTCGGGAATCCTTGATGTCCTAAATTGTCCATAGCTTCTTTTCCACAATTTGTAACAATGGTGAGCTTTTTTTAGTAAGAATTTTAAGATGTCACGCGTAATTACTAACTTGATAATTTGCTATCTTAATAATAACTCTCTGACTAAGTGTTTATCAAATGACTACAAATGGTTTAGCTGTTCGGCTTGATTTTGGGTCTGCCCGTTTTGGTCTTATTATTCTGTATGTTTTCTTTGAAATGCTAGGACAGTTTTTATTCCACGGATAATACAACCCCACTGCAAATTCGATAGGGCACATCCTAATCAGGTATTAAGAAGCAACACCCTTTTATAGCATTCTCTATTACGACGTGACTCTGTTGTATGTTGGTAGTAAAAATTGCTATTGAACTGGTGCAAATATCTGCTGTCTTTTTCTCTTTTGGCTGTTGTTTGATAATTAGAGATAATAAAGTAGCCTTGTTGTTTGATTTCAAGAGAATTGGTGATGCTGATTGGTCCACAGGTTTTCTTGATGCGGAACATCCGGCTCGAAGGACCAAACATATGAGAAAAGCCAGCAGTGCTTAAGTTATTAGCACGAGTTTAATAAGCAATATTGTTTTGTTAACATACACCAGGTTCTGATTTGGATGCCCTATCTAAACCACACAGGATAGCTCTATGGTTGCCTGATTAGGCCCAACTGTTTTAAGGCGTTGCATTCTCGATTCGGCCCAAATCAGATAACTTGATCAGCGCCAAATTATTTAAAGTTAGGTTTGCCGGATAAGGTCTCGAATATTTCTCTTCTCTTTGTATTTTTTATTATTTTATGTTTTTGATGATTACAAGAGATGTCTAGCGCCTCCATATTTGGTTTAAATTTTTGGGATCATCTTGCAGGGTGTTTTTGTTTAAGAAAACATTTAACTAATACTCCAGGGTGACAAGGTGCTTTGCATACATACACACGTACAATAAATACAAAAGCCAATAATAAATATAAGGTGCACAAATCTAAAGAGAGTAAAAATATTTATTGTAAACATATTGGACACGTGTTAAATCCTCCATAACATCCTTGACTTCCTTACCGTGAACACCTATCAATGGCACAATGCTAATTCACAACGAAAAAACAATAAAGATTTCTACTACGTCTCTTCTAATCTGGAGAATATAACTAAATTAAGGTCATTGCGATTAATATCGGAACGTTATGAAATCCTCTACATTTTAATTTATCGCATTGGTCTTCGTTTAGGAGTAGAATAAGGTAAATTATACCCATTACTGTCTATACCAACTTGGCATAAATTATGGCCATATAACTCTTGTAAATTGTCTTTAAACTAATAAACGGTTTAAGCCTCAATCTGCTTAATAAGAACTAAGCTATTTATTC